CAATAATAAATATTCCCACATGAGCCGCAAGGGAATATTGTTATTAATTAATGATTGAGTTATACACAATTGCTTGTGCAATTATAAATAATCACAATCTTTATGTTAGATACATTCATTGTATTGAGTTTTGCATTCGTGGATATTCTGTTTAGTACGCCATACGGAGTTTCTTTTCAATGGTTATTGGGCAGAATGAGGCAGGCTTCTCTGGCAGCAGAGAGAACTGTATGACACATGGCCTTTTGTCTGCTACATAAGCAAGGTGGTTCCCCAACCCCTCAGGTGCAGTGGAAGACTCTGTCGCATAGCTCATATTCAAGAAAGATGCAGCTGATGGCCTGGTCAGTGCTTGCCGATGGAATTAGATCAAGTGCTGAGCTGACAGTGCATGTAAAGATTTGCCATAAGTCTGGCTTCATTGGCTGCTGGGAGGCTGTAACCTGTAGCCTTGCCAGAAAAACATAGGCTTGTAGAGTCGAAAGGTGACTCAAAACATTAGCTAGTCCAACTGCAGACTCTATCCTTCATTGGCTGCTGGGAGGCTGTAACCTGCAGCCTTGCCAGATAAACATAGGCTTGTAGAGTTGAAAGGTGACCCAAAACATATAGCTAGTCCAACTGCAGAGTAGATCTTTACCTGGGTAAGGAGAAGGCCAGCTAGACTGTAACCATCAACCAGAGAGGGGACAGCTGTTGGAACTTCCCTTCCATGCTGGAAATAACACCTACTAGGATTGAAACCAACCTGGTCCTGTCTGTTGGGCTGAAAGGGAGCCAGCTGCTGCTCGCTTTCCTTCCCCCTCCACACTGCGTTTGCCTCTTCTGTCACTGAGTTGAACCTGTGGTCAGAGATTGTCTTATCATTCAGTAGTTGTACATTGCTAAGGAGCTTCTGTTTTGTAGGCATTAGATCAGAAATGGGCAACTTTTGTGGATCTTGAGCTGAAGGTTGTCCTCCGGAAATGGTCAAGGCTATTGCTGAAATTCTGTGGCAGCAGCAAAACCAGTGCACCCCCCCTTAAACTACAAGCTGCATGTGTACTATGTACCTACGGTATTTTGTTTTTACGCCTGTGTTGCTGAGTTGCAGTGGTAGTAAGGTTGTATTTAGGGTGGCAATGCAAAAGCAGACAGGAAGGCACAGATTGCCCATCCCTATGTATTGGTGGTTGATGGTTAGCTCCTTATGCCTCCTTGGATTTCTCTTTCTTCACCCCGATGCAGCAATTGTTCAGACCTCAAATAGACTTTCTACGTGTCACCACAAAACCACACACACTCTGCCTCAAAGAATATTTCCTGCAATGTAAGCTCGTGGTGGGAGGGCATGATCTGTGATGGCGTGCAAGAGGAAGAAATGGAGGGGAAAGGAGCACTTAAATGCAAGGGTGGGGGCACGTACAATGCCTTGCTGCCTAGCGTCTTCTGGAGCCTGCATTGGTGCTAGTATAAATTGTTAACATGAGTTGCTTTTAAAAATAAGATTATTGAGCCTGAAGATAAACTAAAAATACAAAGTACTGTAGATACAATTATAGAGAGCAGAATAAACCGGGGAGCAGTTGCCCTTTAGTGAGCTTAATTGAAGTTCAAAATTGCTCCAAGCATGCACTTTTTGCATTGTGCATGGTTTATTTTGGGACTAGAGCATCACTTTGTAAATTGTTGGAAGTTCAGCAATGCTAGACAACCTTGACCTCAAAAACAATGAGTCCACCAGTGTAGATTGTTTCTCTCCCCCCCCCAAAAAAAAACCAGAGCTGCAGAGAGTGGTCCAGAGAGGAGTGGAGTAGTCTAAGGCTTAAAGTAGACTAGTAGAGGCTACAGTCACATGCCTGATGGGCGACTAAATCTTCCTTTTTTTACCCATAAGTGCTTCCGGCCTGATCTGAACAAAGCCTTCTAAATACAGTACAAGAAGGCTCTCCGTGCCAATTGTTTTTCTTCCTTAAATCCTTCTTTAAATTCTTTTTCCTTACATTCACCTGGAAGAACACCATTAGCACTCATTGACATTATCTTCCTTATAGCCACCCCTTCCCTCTCTGTGTGTGTGTTTAAGTTAGGAGGAAAACCAGGTAGGAGGAAGGATTTAATCTTTCCTTTAGCTGGATATGATAGACCTCATTTGGGCCAGCTCCTATGTGCCAACTTGGGAGTACGGTTGAAATACATGCAACTAATTTATTGAAGTGTACAATTTAGTTCTAAATTTTACTCATAACCAAATGAGACCTGACAATTGTGGCTAATATGCTGCATTAAGTGAATGTGTTCTTTCCTCCAAGTTCACAGAGAATCCCAGAACCCCTTGTAGCATACAGGAGTGCAGTAACTGGGAAAATGTCTTCGAAAGAATTCCCTAAAGGCAGAAAAACTGAAAAGACCTGGTACAGGTTATTCATTCAGATAACTCCTGTGCTGCTTGGGGATTCTTTAGTTTCCCATTCCCTACTTTTTTAGGCCTGATAGAACTAAAAGCAAAATTTTGCTTGTCTTTTAGCATCAATATTTTGAAAGCACAGAGTATTCAAAATGTTGGATGCTTGGACAATGGAGTTGGACAGTAAATCTTCCGTAGGTTTAGGTTTGCCCTCCACATATTGTTGACTTGCAGCTCCCATTAGGCCTCATCTTTGGCTATGTGGTCAAAACGGATGGGAGCTATATGTTCCTTCATTGTTGATGTCTGCCATATGGAAGTGTTTTTTTTTTTTTTTAATGATAACTCCTGTGCTGCTTGGGGATTCTGAGAACAGTAATCAAAAAAGTAACATTTCCAAGCATGGGACTCGTTCACCACATAAGTCAAACCAGTTTCTTGGGTAAAATTAAGTAGCCAGAATTCTATAGTCCATTTATGCTTGTGTAAGGGGAAGCTGCACATGTCTTGCCTACCAGCTGCTGGCTGTAAGCGGATGCATGCCCAAGAATGCACCTCAATAATGAGCAACAATTTGCAGCCAAGACTTAGCAGGGCAATTTCTTCTTACATAAGTTGAGAATAGGATTCAGGCCAATAATTCTTACTCCACTTCTCCCCCCCCCCCCCAAGGGCCATTATGCTGTAGTGCCATTGCTCTTGCATCTGAAAATGTCAAAACATGCATCCCAGGGGATGTCAGCAAGTTTTGGGGAATCCTGACAATTTGCAAAAGTACAGTGCATCTTGAGGGGCAAAAACCCAACAACTAGTGCAGTGGGAATAAAAGGCAACAGCCCCATGAACAGTAAGCCTGTCTAGTGGCCGTGAGATTTTGACTATTGTGGGTAGGGATAGAAAATCAGGATGGAATGGGAATAAAATAGAGCAGTGGCTCCTAACCTTGGATCCCCAGGTGTTCTTGGACTGAAACTCCCAAAAGCTTTCGTCACTAGCTGTGATGGCCAGGATTTCTGGGAGTTGCAGTCCAAGAACATCTGGAGACCCAAGGTTGGAGGCCACTGCAATAGAGTTTCTTTATGGAGGACGAACGGAATGGAGTATCCTGTTGAAGAGAAACTGATAGGAAATGTAACAGATTAAATATGGAAGAGGAATTGAATGCAATAGCTGGAAGGTCTGTGAGAAATGCTCACCCCTTGTTACTTAAAAGCAGTAACCAGACAACCACGAATACAAACAGCATTCTTTTTATTAAAAGCACTTTTGCAAAGGCAGTTGTCCTAGCTGGGTAGGCACACCTGTCATTACAGGTAGCATGATATTTATCCCCTACTCCTGGCTGCATGGCCCTGTTACCGGCCAAATTTGGGTTCTAAGATTCTCTGGCAAGGAACCAGGCATAGATGCAACAGCTGAACCATAGGCCCAATTTTATTTGAATAGCGGCAAAGAAAAGGTCAGCTGGGACTTCTCTTAAAAGCAGAGAAGACCCCCAAAATACAGTGTACATATATTTTATAATGATACCAACAAAGAGTCATAAAGGTACTACAATTCTATTGGTCATTTGTACCCCAAGTTTGGATCCAGTTCCTCATTGGGCAATGATGCCAACTAAGTTAACCTATTGGCTATGTATGGATATGCAGATTGTGTGCTCATGTGTCTTTTGCTTATGCTCAGGAAGTGTCTAAATGTTTGGGAAAAGAATCTTATCTTTTGGTATGTTTATGTGTAGGCTTCCCTGGGCCCTGATATATGGCCTTCCCTCTTTGGCTCTCCTGCTAGTGATAGTCCGACTATTATCGCCTGGTTCCTCCTTGGTCACATTCCTTAGCTGGCCATCTGCTAGATCAAAGGTGAAGGGGTGCAAGGAAGAGTAACTAAAGGAAAATCCTATACTATCTGTGAATTCTTCTCTATATGCCTGAGCTATGCGTGAATGTCTTGGGCCTAGTTTCTCTGCTAAGGGTTATACTAAAATCTGGTTTGATTCTGTTCCGGTATCAGTCCCTCTCTCATTTCCCCATTGGTCTAGGTACTCCAAGGTGTACAGCCTATCCAGTGTGCCTAAATTGATCACAGAAAGTCCTGCCTTTGTTTACATCTCCCACTCCTCTCTTTACCTGGACCCCAGACTCTTATTTATTTCTCTCCTTATTTGATATATGTTCCCTTCCCTTAACCTCAGTGCAGTCATTCTAACTGACCCATTATGTTTCTTCGTTATTAACCGGGTTCATTCACTCAATCTTTTTGTCAGTACAGTAGGGCATCTCCCGTATCTGTATGTTCTCCATTGGCTTCCTGGACCTCCCCTAAAATTCCTAATGTCAGCTATATAATTAATGAATGCATGTACTAATTGGTTACAGAAGCAATCTACTTAATCACTGTGTCTCTACAAGATCCTGCAAAATTCCTCTATTTCTCACTAATCTACGGTATTTCTCACAGGCCCACTCTACACTGCAGGACTTTGTTGAAGGTCTCATCTCTGTTTCTCTAGATTTCAAAGCCCATAGATGCAACAGTTTAATAGAACTTTCTTGAGATTCTCTTGATCTCCTCTGTTCTTCCCTACGTGACAGATTTTTTCCCCTTTTCACAGGTTCATAGCAAAAAATATTATGCGCTTGCAACGTTTGGGTATCACCCACATCCTGAATGCAGCAGAGGGCAAGTCTTTCATGCACGTGAATACTAACGCCGAATATTACGAAGGAAGCGGCATCACCTACCACGGCATCAAAGCCAACGACACCCAGGAGTTTAACCTCAGCCGTTATTTTGAGGAAGCAGCGGACTTCATTGAAAAGGCACTAGCGCAGAAAGATGGTAAGATGCCCTACTCAACTTGGAGCCTCCTCCTTCAACTGCAAAGACTAACAACTCTCACTGTTGGTTCTGCTGGTTACAGCTGATAGAGGCTGAGGTCCAAGAACTTCTGGAGGCAGGCAGCAGGTTGGGGAAAGCTGATTTAGAACAATAGACTGGAATCCTGTTGCTTAGTATAACAAGACACAACTAGAGTAAGAACATTGAATCAGTGGGGATTTGCTAAGTCCATTCCTTTGTAATTTTAGTTGATTCACATGGGCCTATTCTAACTTTGACCAAACTCCAGGAGGCAGTGGAAGACAGGAGGGCCTGGCATGCTCTGGTCCATGAGGTCACGAAGCGTAGGAGACGACTTAACAATTAAACAACAAAAATTCTAACTGTGACTATAGTTAGCAACAGGATTTCAACCACAGTGTGGAAAAAAATTGTTTAGCTGCCTCAGGAGGGGACTGAGGAATGTGTAGCTCGTGATCTTCTTGGACTACAACTCCCATCATCCTCACTGTTGGTTCAGTCAACTAGTGCTGATGGGAGTTGCAGTCCAGCAACATCTGAAGGGCTGTATTCATTCACTGACGTAATCCTTTCTTGTTTTGGATCCTATGATCTTTCCCCTTGCTCATCTGTATGACTTTTACTTTTTTTCACTGTGCAGAGGAGTGGAGTTTAAGGGTCGTACCATGTGTAGGTGGGAATCAAAGGTAGCGCAGGAAGCTTAACAGGAGACACTTGTAAATTATATTCACTTTAATCTCTGCCCAGAAGTATAGTTTATTGTCTGCTTGCAGTAGATAGCTTTCAGTTAGTGGCTGGTGGTAGATTCTGTGCTTTTTTTTGTTTTTGGTGGGGGAGTGATAAATGCCGTGAAAGTCGAGCTTTGCATTTCAGCTTCAGCTTCCTGTGGCTTCACAGCTTGTAAGGCAACTCCTGCTAATCTCTTCATACTACAATTGGGAGGGGAATGAGAACAGAGGATGTTGATAGCAACTCTGCACTGTTGCTATATGGATTTTGTCCTTCTTGGCCAACCCAGACTATTCCCTTGTTTCTGGAGTTGCACCAGTATTACATTCAGATCAGGGAGTGTTCAGATCTGGGCCCAAAGTCACATGGCCACTAAAGGATTCAGTGTGGTGTGAAGGTTAATGCAATTTGAGTGAAGTGTTCAGCATTGGATGACCCCTATGAGAATTCCAATACAGTATATTAAAAGTTAGTAGTAGGGTTAGGAGTGTGGTTGAGGTTCGGATGAAGGACAGAGTTTGGAAATAATGTGTTTGATTTAAAGTGCTTCTCCTTTCATGATAATATTCCAATACAGTATATTAAAAGTTAGTAGGGTTAGGAGTGTGGTTGAGGTTAGGGTGAAGGACAGAGTTTGGAAATAATGTGCTTGATTTAAAGTGCTTCTACTTTCATGTTAAATGGAAGGAATGCATCTAATCTTAAGAAAATAATGTTTCAGAAAGCAGTGTTGAAGCATTAAAAATATTACTTTAAAAATTATTCTTTAGATACATCTGTTGGCTTGTCCTCCCATTTAACACATAAAAGCTCTGCTCAAAGATAGGCTTTTATATATACCTTTTGTACTTCTTGACCCCAGTGAGAATTCTAGTGTTTAGTTCAGTGGGGCAAACCGAATGATAAGGAGAGGCAATCTCTACTCATTGTTTTCTGAAACATGACACAGGACTCTTTTTGTCCCAGTCTGTTGTTTTTGGTTGGGATTTAAAAAACAACAACACTTAGACCATTGTCCAAAATCAATAGGTTTGTTGGGACAATTTTCTTGGCTGTTTGTTGTTTGCAAAAACACCAGTGCGCTTGGCAAGTGGCTGAAACCTGTTTACTATTGTGTATTTGACAGTGATTCAGAGTACCCATGCTAGGGGGCTAGGTCTGTGTGGAAGACACCCCATTTTCGGGGCATGAAGATTAAAGTGGTGTTTCATCATCTGTACTTTCTACTGGAGGATCGGAAAAGAGCAGGACGGTTCTTCATTCCCACCCCATTTTCGGGGCATGAAGATTAAAGAGGTGTTTCATCATCTTTCTACTGGAGGATCGGAAAAGAGGAGGACGGTTCTTCATCCGACAACATTCACCCATACATGGGCTTCTTTATATTCCAACAGCATCAGGAGGACAGGATTCCATTGCAGAAGCCAAAATGGGCTTGACTGGGTGTGGGTAATGCCAAGATACGACTTGGCTGTCAGAAAGGCCTGCATTTTTAAAAAATGGAACCATGTTCTTTCCCTGCTCCTTCTGAGTGTGTGTGCAGTATTTAAACTTCAGTTATTAAGGAAGGTGTCGCCACTGCAATGGAATGGGATTGGATTCAAGAAGTTGCTGTACTATTAGATTACGATACCTATTATCCCCAGCCAAGAGGCAGATTTTCTGGGAATGATGGAGGCCATGGTCAAAAAGTAACTTTCCTCAGCTCTGAATTCTGGAGATATTTCAGAAGGGGTTGCAAATGATTACTCTACGCGATGTGGATTGAGGATTTTCTTGGTGATTCTTCCAGGTTGACAGACAAAAAAGCTCAAAGGAGATCATGAAGGATTTAATTGTTGTGGATTTAGTTGGGAGGGGGGAAGAGGAGAATTGTCCTCCCCCTCCTCCCCACCCCAATATGTACACTCAATATTCTTGTTTGTGTGCTGCACACATGGGTTTCTGAAGGAGCTTTAGATGATTCGCCTTCTCTTCCCCATCCAAATATGTGGAAGAAATTTGGTTTTGCTAGATAAAAAAGAACAGATGTACTGTAGCCCCATTTTATATATAAAGATAGAAGTTTGAGCTCTCTCAGGAAAAAGGTGTCCGGGTGGAAAAGTTAAAACAGCCGTGTAATCTTTGTTGGCTGTTCTTTTGCATCACATTGGCTGAAATCCCTTGACTTAGCGAAGTAAATCATAACTAGAGGAGGCCCATTAAATCAATGGGTTTATGGTGAATTAACTCTGTTGATCCACAAACTCAAAATCTAGCTTTAATTTACACTAAAGTTTCAACTAGTGTTGGCCCATTTGAATTGATGGAAATTATGAAGGAGTTGATTCACCAAATTCCCCCTTGATTCAGTGGGCATACTCTAATGTGACTTACTGTGCTAATTAAAAGGATTTCAGGCATTGGCTGGCTTTTGCAGAGCTTGGGGAAATTCTCTCACCTCATTGACCCTTGGAGTCGATGAGGTGAGAGAATCTCCAGAGAATTTCTAGAATCTCCTAGACAGAATGGCCAGCAGCCATGCAGGTGGAGGAAGGGATACCTAAAAAAAGTCACTTTCCAAAAGGCAGAGAAGAACTTTGGAGTGGAGCAGCAGATGTTGAAAGCAGAGATGGCTCAAGAGATTGTTACCTGAGGGAACAGACAAAAATGACAATTCTTCCTTCCTCCAATTTTGGATACCGAAACAAAGTGAACCAGTAGTTGAAAGTAACTTTTCAAAATCAGAGCGTGTCCTCCATTGTCCCTGAAGGGCAGTAGGCCAACATAAGGGCTGTAGGACAGGCCATGTGGCATACAGTGGCTCCCCCACACACATACACCATCTGCTTTTTGAGATGGTTGCCTCACTCTGCTTGATGGTAGACAGAAGCTGTTTCTCCTCTTGGTTGGGGGAGAGTTAGGCACCCTGCCTCCCATGATTTTTCTTTTCTTTAAAAATCCATCCAAAAGCAAAGTGTGCTACTTATATACTGCCCCATAGTGCTTCAAGCTCTCTCTGGGTGGTTTGCAAGTTAATTATGCAGGCTACATATTGCCCCTCCCCCAGCAAGCTGGCTACTCATTTTATAGACATCGGAAGGCTGAGTCAACCTTGAGCCGTCTACCTGGGATTGAACCCTGGGTCGCGAGCACAGTTTTGGCTGCAATGCAGCAGTTTAACCACTGCGCCGCAAGGCTCTTGTTGCTTTATTTTTCATGGTCTGCCTCCCTTGGCATTAGGATCCAGTGTTGATATAGGCATAGATATTGACTTTTTATATAGAAAACATGTTTGTGTATACATGTAGGTATGGGTATAGGTGTATGTTGTTTTGTTTAGTCATTTAGTTGTGTCCAACTCTTCGTGACCCCTTGGACCAGAGCACGCCAGGCCTTCCTGTCTTCCACCGCCTCCCGGAGTTGGGTCAAATTCATGTTGATCGCTTCAGTGACCCTGTCCAACCATCTGATCCTCTGTCGTCCCCTTCTCCTCCTGCCTTCACACTTTCCCAACATCAGGGTCTTTTCCGGAGAGTCTTCTCTTCTCATGGCCAAAGTATTTGAGTCTCAGCTTCAGGATCTGTCCTTTCAGTGAGCACTCGGGGTTGATTTCTGTCAAAATGGATAGGTGTATATATAATAATAATTATTGTGTGCCGTCACGTCAATTCTGAATTATAGCAACCCTTTTCAGGGTTTCCTAGGTAAAAGGTATTCAGAAGTGGCTTACCATTCCGTTCTTCTGGGGGGTGCCCTGGGATTGTTCCGCTTGCCCAAGGCCACCCAGGCTGTCTCTTCTGGGAGGCTCAGTGGGCAGTTGAACTCCCTACCTTTGGCTCCACAGCTGGATACCTAACTCCCTGAACTATCCAGCCAGCATGTGTGTATATTGGTGTGTGTGTGTAGACCTGGCCATGGAGCTATGTGTGAGAGAGATGGTTTCTCTTTTTGTCCTGGATAGCTCATGAGCCTTGCAAACTGTGGTATAAAACATGTCCTTTCTTGCTCCTTTCTTCTTTTCCTCCGCATGTTAGGCCGGGTGTTTGTCCACTGCCGTGAAGGCTACAGCCGCTCGCCGACACTGGTCATTGCTTACCTTATGCTGCGGCAGAACATGGATGTCAAGACTGCCGTAAGCGCCGTCCGACAGAAGCGGGAGATTGGCCCCAACGATGGCTTCCTGAGGCAGCTCTGTCAGCTCAACGAGAGATTGGTGAAGGAAGGCAAGCTGAAGAAACCGTGACCGCTGCCTCGTGGCTCGGCTTCTCTGCCCGGCTTCCCAAGACTCTGTTCGTTGTTTTTGGGTTGAGAGCTCCAACTGCCAGGCCATGCGAGGAAGGCAAGAGGAGCCATCTTGTTTCTTCTGCTGTGGGCAGGGAAAGAGCCTGTTCTTTTTTCTTTCTTTCGGTAGGCACCAGAGAGTTGCTGCAATATTGAAATAACTCCTAGAGGTGGGTCTCCCAGCACCACCACCAACAAAGCTTTGGCTTTTTTTTCTGTGCCATTATGTTGGAGTCTGCCCAGTGTAATATTTGTGTGTGCGCGCGCACGTGTGCGTGTGGATTTTTTTTAAAGCACTTTGTATCACGACTGTGAATGCTTCTTGAAAATTATTGCCAGGACTCTCCCAAGCCAGCTGCGCCTCCTTGACCTCCTTTCATTTGTGGTGTTCTGGGCCCTCATGCAGACTATCTTGTGCTGCTCCTACTGAAGTTTAAATGAGAGCTTTTCAGTTTACACATGAAGAGCCAAGAGCTATCCCCCAGCCTGCCTGCCTGCCTGCCTGTTAATATGTGCCAAAGGCATTGGTTTGGGAGAGCTGGGATTGGGTCCATGTGCTTTTGTGCAGAATGGCTGCCGGGGATCTTCGTTGGACTACCCCTAGTTGCCAGGCAGCCCTTTGGTTGCCAACACACCAGAACTGCAAACCTCGGGCACTAGCCAGCTAGATTTGACATGTGACTCCTACACCATTGGCAAATCAACTGCAGGTTAAACTCCTGATTTGCTTAGTCCTTAGATATTTTCAGCTCATATGGCCCCATCCTGTTGAGCCAGGCTCATTTGGTGCACTGCCTCCTCCCCACGTAATTTCCATCTACAGTGGTGCCTCACATTATGACGTTAATTTGTTCCAGCAAAATCGCTGTAGAATGAAAACGTAATGTGAAAATAAAAAGCCCATTGAAACACATCGAAACCCCTTCAATGTGTTCCAGTGGGCTGGAAACTCACTGTCCAGTGAAGATCCTCCATAGGGCGGCCAGTTTCGGTGCCTGTGCAGCGAGGAAGCCGTCCCAGAAAACAGCGGGGAGCCATTTTATTTACCCCGTGGCCATTGTGAAACCGCGGATCAGCTGTTGGAAAATCATTGTTTTGCGAAGAATCGGTTCCCGAAGCAGGGAACCGATCATCGCAAAGCGAAAAACCCCTATTCAGTCCATCGTTTTGCGATCGCATTTGCGATCGCAAAAAGATCGTCGTACAGCGATTTCATTGTAAAGCGGGGCACAACTGTATCCTACTGTTTGTAGAAAGGTAGAATGTAAGGGTCAGAGGCACCTCAGAGGTCATCTAGTCTGGCCCCCTGATTTGTGGAGGAATCAATAGCCACACCTCCCCAACGGATGGCTATTCAGCCTTTGCAAACAGACTTCTAATGAAGGAGAAGCCACCACTTCTCAAGTTCTCTAGTCTAGGATCAAATAGCTCCTGCTGTAGAGAACTCCTTCTAACGTTGCTCCAAAGTCTGCTTGCCTGTACAGTAATTTCCACTCTTTAGTTCTAACCGTGGCCCTCTATAGGCATAGAGAACAAATTGGCTCTGTGTTTTTTTTCCATGACAACACTTCAGATATTTAAAGCCAGCGCTCAGTTCCCTTCTTAATCTCCTTAGCTGAGATGCTGTGCAGCGTTATTCTTGAGACAGGCGCTCCCCAGCAGTGTTTTTCTTATGGAAAAACCAGGCTGCCACTGAGAATCTGCAGCAGGAACAGAAAGCTAGTTGATGTGAATGCAAGACTATAAGATTGCAGAGGGAACAGATCAGAACACCTGAAAAGTTGCAAATTTGGCCCTTTCTGCTTTCACTTATTTTAAAAGAACAGCACCAGCACCGGCACCCATCTCTCCCTCTTGTCTTCCCATCTGAAATCTAGTCTGAGACAGGATCATTAGCATTAACTTAAATAAGCAGAAGCATTCTCGCTCTCTCGTAACAAGGTAATATTTTCTATAGTGTGTGTGTTTCATATGAATCTGAATATATAAAATACATATATAGGAAAATAATATATATATATGTACAGAAGCAATGATGAAAAGCCATTTGAAAACATGCCGTCAATGCAAGTAACATTTTATATATATTGTCGATATTGCTGTGTTCAGGTTTTCTGGTGTCAAAAGCAATTTCTTTTTTTAAAAAGCTAATGTGGTTGAGTTCTGGATTTCTGTGGTCATGGCCATCTAGGCCATTGGTTCCCAGCTTTGGGTAACCAGGTGTTCTTGAACTGCAGTTCTCGAAAACCCTGGCCAGCATGGGGTAACCAGGTGTTCTTGAACTGCAGTTCCCGAAAACCCCGGCCAGCACAGCTGATGGTGAAGGCTTCTGGGAACTGTAGTCCATCAACGCCTGGATTTCCCAAGTTGGGAACCATTGATCTAGGCTGTGTAACTATGGTCTTGGTAGGCTGACACTCCCCGGATTTCAGCTCTGGGTACCACATGGTTGGTATTCGAACAGTGTTTTCCAGTATTCAAGATGCCTGCTGGTGATCTCCTGTTGAGAACTGATAAGAGCTGTTAACAGTCTCCTGCTGCTTGATTGAACTTCATTGATAGTAATAGTGATAATGTTGAAAAGCTGTCTTAGAGGTTTAATTGGCATAATTTAACATTGTAACATGAAATCCAAGTTTGTGGTAGAGATGTACATTTTTTGTCAGAACTGATTTATGATGCTAACAGGGCTTTCAAGATAAGTAAGATATTTAAGCAGTAGTTTTACCAGTTCTCCAGTGATTTTCTGTGGCTTTGTACGCATTTGAACCCAGGCCTCCTGAAACAGTCTCTTACACCAGTGGTCCCCAACCTTGGGCCTCCAAATGTTCTTGGACTTCAACTCCCAGAAATGCTGGCCAGCAGAGGTGGCAGTGAAGGCTTCTGGGAGTTGTAGTCCAAGATCATCTGGAGGCCCAAGGTTGGGGACCACTGTCTTACACCATCCGCTATACCACACTGGGTATCCAGAGATGTATGACATCTTCAATATTCCTTATTTGCTGTGTGATAATGTTGCATTGAAATATCTCAGAAGGAGTTTCTCAGTGATCATTCTGACAAATACCTTTTTGTTATTGTCACACTGCCTTCCCAAAGAGTGACACCTTTGAATGATTTTTGCAGAGTGGGCTATTTTATTTTTTTAAAGCCACAAATCTCTGGAAAAATGCTAGGTCTAGATAACTGGACCCCAGATAACTGGGGTCCAGTTTTCTGTCCTCGGAATCTTTTGGAGGCCACATAGATTATCAAACATTCTGGAAAAGAAAATGAAACCTGCAATTGCTAGAAGTCAACTAGTTTTGAAAAAAAAATTATAATCAGCATTTTGGGATGTTAAATGGTGCAGGGAAGGCATGCCATATTTAAAGGGTGAACAGCTGCTGAAGGTACATTTCACCTTGTCCCACCTCCTGTTCCAGGAGATGGGCGAATGGGATTGTTAGTTAGCTAGGCATCCTTCAGTCTCGAAAGACTATGGTAGCGTGCTCTGTATGGAGGGCTTGGAACAGCGCCTAGTGTGGCTGAGAAGGCCAATTCGAGAGTGACAGTCCCTTCCACACTGAAGACAAATCCAATCTGTCCCCTCTCCGGCTCCCTGCTTTTGCTGCTTTTGTGACTTCCTCTTTGCCTTGGCCTGCTGGGCAAGGGTCTCTTCAAATTGGGAGAGGCCGTGATGCACCGCCTGCCTCCAGGCTGAACGCTCAGATGTCAGGTTTTCCCATCTGTTGAGGTCTATTCCTAAGGCCTTCAGATCTTGCTTGCAGATGTCCTTGTATCGCAGTTGTGGTCTCCCTCTGGGGCGCTTTCCCTGCACTAATTCTCCATAGAGGAGATCCTTTGGAATCCGACCATCAGCCATTCTCACGACGTGCCCGAGCCAACGTAGACATCGATTGTATAGTGCAGTGTTCATGCTGAAAATTCCAGCTCGTTCTAGGACTGCTCTGTTTGGAACTTTGTCCTGCCAGGTGATGCCAAAAATCCGTTGGAGGCAACGCATATGCCCCCCCCCCCCGGCTGTGGTTTAGGTATCTGGCTGTAGAGTTACAGATTAGGAGTTTGCTTCCTGTGAATAGAGCCATCTCCCTGTGGCCTTGGGCAAGCTGCCCAGTCCCAGAGCGCCCTCAGAAGAAGGGAATGGTAAACCACTTCTGAATATTCTCTACCTGGAAAATCCTGAAAAGGGCCACTATAAGTCACAATTGACTTGATGACACATGATTATTATTATTAGAGCAAGTATTCCCCCAAATGGCCCTTTCTGATTTGCTGTCCACTTACAGAGAGTTTTAGGTGGCAACGTATGCTCAATTTGGCTAGCTGAAAACCACACTTAGCCTCTTAATGTAACAGTTTTTAATATTTGCAAATCCTGTAGCATGCATTTATACAGTTTCCATTCTGCTGAAGGGGAACTGAGGCTAGTAGGTAGACATGATATTCTAATGGTAGCCATATTAATCCAGTTATGCAGATTTATATAACTGTCCAGAACCCCGGGGAAAGATGTTAAAATACCTGGTACATATATCTATTAAAACTAGCTAAATCTACAACACTTGCAGGAGGGACAGTGAAGAATTGGATTCCCACCCGCTGTCTCCACAGTGAGATACGTAGCTCGCTGAGCTGTGGGAGAAAAGTTGCTTTTATCACTGATCATTGTTGATCAGAGATAACTGGAATGTCTTCACTCACCGACTTCAGCAGCTGTTAGTTGAGAGCACTTTCTTTTTTTTTCTGCTGCTCCTCAGGATGGGGGTGGAGAAGGAAAAGCAAAAGAAAAGCAAGGTTTTGCCCAAAGCACCAGGTAGAGACGTTCTACCAAATGGTTTGGTCAGGGAACTGGTAAAGTCAAGAGATATGACAACACTCCTGAAGTCTGTGAGATGGCTTGGGGTGCTTCTGCTCTTCCTTCAAATATGGTTTTGCACCCTTAATTTGGATTATGCTGCCCATATTTTACATGCAATTCAATATGTGCTAAGCCAGGAGTTTCCTTATCAGAATCCTTCACCTGCCTAATGGAATCCTTCTCATCCTTTGTCTGCTTTGAAGTTACTGCACAATTCTCAGTAAATAAAAGCTTTCAGAGGTATTTTGTTTTGATACACCAGGCAATGCACAAAACAGTTGTGGTGAGCAGCCTGTTCGTACGCATATTGTGCTAAGACATTGTTATGGTCCCCAGCATGAAAAAGGTTGCCTAGACGAACATGTCAGGTTGCTGTGTTTAAAGCCAATTCCAAAGTGGGGGCTGTAGGGTCAATGCTTAGGCATCAGATCTCAAATTTCACCTTTAGGATGTAGATTAGAATCTCCTTCCCAATCTTGTTGGACCAAGGATTGCCAGTGACTCAGCAACACCTCATTGCTGTACAGTATATAGAAATACATAAGGCTGTAGGGTCAATGCTTAGGCATCAGATTTCAAATTTCACCATTAGGATGTAGATTGGGACTCAGCAATACCTCATTGCCGTATATAGAAATGCATAGTGCCTTTTTGATTGGGAATAGAGACATAATAGTACTTACAGTGGGGTAAAGATGTTAACATCACCTGTGCAGGACTATGAACTGAGAAAATACTGCAACTGTTACATAATAGGTACTGCCCCAGTCAGTGATTCAAGGTATCTTATCTGATAAGGGGTTTGTCACCTTTCTGTGAGTTTGCCGTATATAGAAATGCATAGTGCCTTTTTGATTGGGAATAGAGACATAATAGTACTTACAGTGGGGTAAAGATGTTAACATCACCTGTGCAGGACTATGAACTGAGAAAATACTGCAACTGTTACATAATAGGTACTGCCCCAGTCAGTGATTCAAGGTATCTTATCTGATAAGGGGTTTGTCACCTTTCTGTGAGTCTGTCCAGATCTGATAAGGGGTTTGTCACCTTTCTGTGAATCTGTCCAGACTGGCCATTTTTGTGTGGGCTGGATTGGGCTCCTGAGGGTCTGTTGAGATCAGGAGGAGAAGTGATATGCCATTTGACATACTCCTTCTGTCCCAACAGCAAAGGACCCCTTATAGCCCAATTAGCTATCAAAGAAGTGCTTCCCCAGATTGTCTGTGGAGGGTCAGGGGGAGTGACGAAGTGAAAATATTCTCTTCCATGTCCCCTTTCTCTCTCCCACTGTTGGTGTTGTTCTGTTTTCTCACCATACCCCCACTTCCCTTCCATCCTCCTCCTTCCACGTTTTCTCTCACTTTCCCTTGGAATCTGCAGTTAGGAGGGCAATTGGAAGCGGAGGCTGTTGGAGGCTACTGTCTCCTCGCTAAACAATGAGCTAATGAATCATGCCAAAAAGAATGGATGCCCTACTGCTGGGCCAGAAAGGTGTGTGACAGCTCTTAAAGGGTAAGGATGGCTTGATCTAAGTAGAAACATGTGCAGACACAATCCCCTCCCCAATCCAAATCATGCTATCAGTGATCCATATATCATATCTATATGCCAGTATGGAGACCCTCAGTCTCTGTTCCCAGCTAAAAAGGAGCCCTGTGTTTTTACACAGAGTGAGAGGAGTTGATCCTGAGATGTTGGGAATCCTTTATCTAACATTCTAACCTGTGTCCTGGTGTTAAAATGAAACCCTTTAACTGAAGGCAGTTCACATTTTAAAACTTGGTTTAAATAGAGCAACCTGGCATATGTACCTCGTTGTGATTTTTGGAACTGTTATGTTTCTTCTGCATCACCTCCAGCTCTGTAATGCCCAGCCTGATGAAGACTTCTGTAGGAATCAAAAGCTGGCTTATCTTTGTGATCTTTTAGTGATTTAATAAAGGTATCACCCACCCTTGTCTTCAGATTTACCTCTCTGAGGCTAGTTCCAACCTATCCACTTTGGGGCACCATTTCTCAACTCTACACAATTTCCAGTATATCTGTATGCAAATAAAGGCAAGGGTTCCTTGTTATTTTTGTTTTGTTGGTTTTCTTTCTATAATCTATCTCATCACCACTCTGCAGCTTCTCTGTCTATGCTTTTCATCTGGGGCAGTTGTGGAGGCTACCAGCTGTCACAAGGCCTGACTGACACTTTTCACCTACCTCAGAAGTAAGGTGAACCTCATCCACGGGAATTCCTCAAAAATTTCTCCTTTTCCTAAATCCTTTTCAAGGGCAATTTCTTTTTTCTCAGATTGAATGCAAGTCATTGAAAATCCTCATGGGATAAATTTTTGGAACGGTTCTAATTTCCTGGAGACACATAGAAAATGCCACCGGTACTTATTTATTATTTCAGCTCGCAAAAACAGCCTTTAGTTTAGAGCATTTTTAGTCTCCATGCCCGAGCATCTCATATGAAGCGATAAGCACATGGTGGTGACTAGCCCCAGAGTGCCAGAGAATATATGGCCATGTATGGCCACGGCGGTTGGGAGACGCTCCATGTGGTGGAACAAATTGGATCATACACTGCATAAATTTATTCATTTACCATATTATTGACAATATTTTAAACTCGCCTTTCTCCTTTAAAAAGGACCCAAGGCAACTTACAACAATGAAGACAGTAGTTTAGTTACAACAGGTATACAATACTAAAAGAATCAACAAGAGCAATGCCAAAAAAACATAAGCAGTTTCAAAACACATTCATGCACTAAGATACAACAATCCATTAAAACAACAACAACAAAACACCCTCAGCAGCCAGTTGCTAAGGGAAAGCTTGCCTGAAGAGAAAGGTCTTGGCCTGCCTGCAGAAGGACAGCAAAGATGGAGCCAACCTAGCTTCCCATAGGGAGGGAGTTCCAGAGTCGGAGCAGCAACAGAGAAGATTTTTTCCAGAGTCTGGGAGCAGCAACAGAGATGATTTTTTTCCTATGTCCCCACAAAATGCATCTGTGATTGGCTATCATGAAGCCAGAGGTTCCAGATTTATTGGACAACCGCTCCTATTATTTCTGAGCTTGTTTGGCTGGAGATGATTGATGTTGTAGTTCAACATGTCTAATAGGTGAAAGAACTGGATTTAAAGCATCTTTAAGGAAAAATGAAGAGGGAAAAAAGTGTTACTTAAGTATAATTTTTTAAAAAAATTCTATTGCCTGTTGCTCTTGCTGTATGAAGTACTATTTTTGCAGCTATCGTCTTTGAACGCCAGATGGTGCCATAACTCTTTCTGGATAGCAGAAACATGCTACTGTACATCGTTTTGATTTAAAAGGTGGATTATTACAGGTATGTGCGTTTGTGTTTTTGGACGACCCCCAGAATTCTAAATTGTACTCCAAAAACACTGTCTGAATTATCTTCCTTACCGACAACTCTGGCAACAGGCTACCATGTGCTCAAAAATCACTGCGCTCGAGCTGAAGAGGATATATGGCACAGATGCTACAGTGTAGGTGGCAACACTTGCAATTCGCACTAATGTGGCCATAGTACCAGATTCACTCAGCAAATACAGTATACTGGACTTTATAGATGCAGTGGAGCTACTGCGGTGTATAGAAGCCTCCTTGTACATGATGGATGAATTCCATGACTTGTCACTGGAGGCTTCCATTGGTGTGGCTGCACCTCTGGGTGGAGAAGTAGGACTTTATGGATGAAGTCATCTATGTTCTCCAAAGCGTTGAAATTGCAACGTAAGTCTTTGGTGGGGAGACAGCCATCCTTAGTCAAGTGAGCCCAAGTGTTCTATGGCATGGCTGGCATGATGGAAGGCATAATGAAGGAGCAGTGTATGTGGGTGGGTGGATTCCATAGGGGGAGAATAGCATTTTTTTTTTGGCCTAAAGTGGTCACCTAGGCCAGCAAGCTAAAGCACCTGCTCCACTACAGGTTTGCCTCCTTGTGGAAGAAGGGAGGAGTATGTTCTAGCAACCCTCTTATCCCCCTCCTCCCAATTAACCAGTGGCCAATGGATTTTAAGCAGCAGGCAGAGCAGAGGACTGCCAGCCAACTTTCCATCAATGCAGCATCTGGTGAAGAAGGTCCAGCTAGCATGGAGAGGGTCACATAGAGCACAAAGAAACTAGCCTTGTTCATAGCCCCCCAAACCACAGTGCCAGCTGTAGTATTCTAAAGTCTAAGCTCCTCACCCCTGAAACAACAGGGCAAGCTTTCTGGGACACTGTCTTGACAAGCATGGCAGGGATCTGTTCACCAGAAATACCACCCCAGAGGAAAGACATGGCAGAAGTACCGGTATACATGCAGGAGGCCTGCAAGCCTAAAGATGCCAATCCCTTGTTTTACTTGGAAAAAATGTCTTTGGGGAGATCTGTCCAGGGTGGTCATGGGACTGCCCAATAACTAGTCTGCCCAGTGAGAGAGTGTTATCTTAGGCAGGGAACATTGTCAGTTCACACTGCTCATGCCTGGAACCTGGATCTATTGAAAAACTCATTTTCCTTAAAGTCAACCTACCCTTGCTGGGCTTCCCTGTAGTCTCCTTTAAGTAAGAGAGAATGGCACACACTCGTCACTGAAATAGGTATGCCATGCTTCCATGTGCTGTCCCTTCATTCTTCCATTTGCTATGCCCAAGATTATGCCCATGTGCTCTGCCCTCCTTGCCCCATGCTGTTGCCACAGTTTCCACCTAGCACAGACTATCTGCTGCTCCAGTTTGCCTGCCAGTGATGCCCAGGGTATCTGACCACCCTCCAATGTGCCCTGTCCTCTGCATCCTAATGCTGCTGGCATTTCCTGCTGCTATTCCTACTGTTCTGCATTCATTAAAGTCATTTCCTAATACATAGACACTGCTGGCTGTTGGTGATCACTCTTTCTTTCTTTCTTTTTTGGTGGTACAGTCACTGAAGGTGTCAAGAGAGGAAATCCTTTAAAATGTTTTGCCTGTGGTTTTTTTCTAAATGGGAAACGAAGGACTACGTATTTAGTATTCATGTTGACTGTAACGGAGTTCTGGATATCCGGACATTCTGAATTTTTAAAATTCTAAATTCCAAAGGGCTATAATTCCAATTCCAAATTCCGAGTTTGAATGTTGGTGCTAGGGTCCATGCCTACAAATTTTGTACTCTCTAATCATACGATATCTTGAAATTAGAGATGAGATGTTTGTATCATCTCCTGCAGGAGATAAATACAAATATTGCCACCGCCGGTGGCTGGGCCCTTTGGACCCTCCCCCCAGAACCCTCCCGGTCCACTCACTGGGCTTCGCGTGGTGTCTGTGGAGGCCATTGGTAACATTGCACCAATCACTGAATTAAACCAGTAGGGGCTTCCCCATCTCCCTGAGCTTCTGACTACTAAGCAGCTTGAGTGGGGAGACTTATCTCACCTCCTAGCCAGAGTGGTCAGTGGCACAGGGAGGTAAGGAAGTGCCAGCTGCACTACTTCTATGAGTGGCGCAATGTTACTGACAACCGCCCTGCATGCCACACAAAGCCCGGTGAGTGAACTAGAATGGTCTTGAGGGGAGGATACGGAACTCTGTGGCACCTGTCCTGCCACACTTCATATTCATATCTCCAGGGATATGATTAATAAGTGCCTATATCTACTTGGAACGGGACGTGGTGGCACTGCGGGTTAAACCAGAGAAGCCTCTGTGTTGCAAAGTCAGAAGACCTGCAGTCGTAAGATTGAATCCACTCGATGGAGTGAGCCCCTGTCACTTGTCCCAGCTCCTGTCAACCTAGCGGTTCGAAAGCATGCAAAATGCAAGTAGATAAATAGGTACCACCACGGTGGGAAGGTAACAGCAATCTGTGTCTAGTCGCGTTGGCCACGTGACCACAGGAGATTGTCTTCAGACAAACGCTGGGTTGGAAACGGAGATGAGCACCGCACCCTAGAATTGGACACGACTGGACAAATTGTCAAGTGAAACCTTTACTTACTTGGAACACACATTTTCACCTCTAGGTGTCACTAGTGTGCATAGTCCTTGCATGCAAAACCTCTCATTTCTTGAACCTGGGCATGACTTCATCGGCCATAATTCCCCCTGCAGTTTATTTTGAGCTGAACACAGATGATTTTGTATACATTACTTTCTCTATTCGTATCAGAGTGTTGTGCAATTTAAAATTATGGATCTGTATGAAATATAGGTAAAATTAAAAAAAAAATCTCTCTCTCTCTCTCTCTCTCTCTCTCTCTCTCTCTCTCTCTGTGTGTGTGTGTGTGTGAGAGAGAGAGAGAGAGAGAGAGAGAGAGAGAGAGAGAGAAAGAGATTGTCCTTGCTGAAATTTTGAAGCATCGTTTGAGCTGCTCTAACCAAACTAAAAAAGGTAAAGGTAAAGGTTCCCCTTGACAATTTTTGTCCAGTCGTGTTCGACTCTAGGGGGTGGTGCTCATCCCCATTTCCAAGCCATAGAGCCAGCGTCTTGTCCAAAGACAATCTTCCGTGGTCACATGGCCAGTGCGACTTAGACACGGAATGCCGTTACCTTCCCACCGAGGTGGTCCCTATTGATCTACTCGCATTTGCATGCTTTGGAACCGCTAGGTTGGCGGGAGCTGGGACAAGCGACGGGCGCTCGCTCCGTCATGTGGATTCGATCTTACGACTGCTTGGTCTTCTGACCCTGCAGCACAGAGGCTTCTGCGGTTTAGCCCACAGCACCACCACGTCCCTACATATCCAAGTAGCCGTATTTAATTGATTATTCAAACCTGAGAACTATGTGATGTAAAGCTCAATGTGGGAAAGGATGTTTGTTGCCATTGGATGGACATCACTTTTGTCCCACTTTCTGTCAATGTGCTCACTTGATCTGTTGGAAAGGGGGTGCTCATGGGTGCACTCTCTCTCTCACACACACATACACACAAACACACAATCTTCAACTCAGCACTGGAACAGAGCTATGCTAGCACACTTAGGAGAACTAAATAAAGAAAAAGAGAAAGGTGTAAATGGCCCATTAGCACATTGTTAGCACTTTAAGGCAGCTTCTGTTGTTTAAACTCTGTGCAAACCCAGCTCTCTGTCTCTGCTTTGCTGAACTTCTTGACATTTGGACGGCTTCAGCAATTTACTCAGGGAAATCTGATATGATGAGCTGCAGATCACAGGAGTTCAAACTGTATGTTCCTTGCTGTGTAGTCACAACCCTATGGAGGGCATAAGAAGCATCACTGATCATCATCAACACTCTTGATTTTTTAAATTTTCAATGGGTTTTCAAAGGGTTTTATTGTTTTAATCACTTGTTTTTATGTTTTTAAACTGCACTTTAAAATTTAAATGACAGCCTTTTTCCCATCCCATCACCATCACAGGTACATTTGGTGAGAACAGGAAGGAGGGCCTTTTTGGTGACTGCTCTGAAATTATGGAAC